TATTTTATTCAAAAATAAAAACATCATCGCTTTATCAAAATCACATAAAGTCATATTATAACATCGACTGAGATAAAGAATAAAATGAAATATTAAAAACACGATGTATCTCGCTGCATTGCGCGAGTACTCTTCTAGTTTTAATAAAAGCAAAATATGCTAATCATTACGCTATTACTGATTTTTTTCGATGACAAATGTTTAATCACKTCTTGAGATTAGTCGACTCACATAGCGGCTTGGATATCCAGGTTAATAAAAAAAACAATTAAAATTTTCTTAAATTATTTACTTCAATGTTTTTTTTATTATGTATTGTATTATAAAAGTTACAATAAGTAGTTATTTATGCAAAAAGTTAATTACCGACAACCTCAACTAATCTCATATGGGACCCGTTTTCATTGACACCAATGTGATGAAATATCTTTTTGGCTTATTCAGCAGATAAGGCTAACTTCGGGTAGTTATTTCTAAGCTTACGTTAACACAGGGGAAAACCTATTAAGAGGGAAGTGGGTTCATGTGTACTCGCTCACTCGATTATTGTAAGAGAAAAATTGGCGTTTGAAAGGTGCATGTGCTTGATTTTGAGGAGTTTCCTTAAATACTTTGACACCAAATTCGTTACAGAAAATAAAAAATGGGTAAGATTGTTGACTAAGATCATTAACTCAGTCCATATAATGTTATTTCTGAAAATATTAACAGCTTAAATATCGTTGAAAGAACCGAACTCACAACCCCAGATACAAGATTAATTGTTCTCCCATTTTTTATTTGCTAATTTTTTTTTCATGATTTATTTTTATTCTCAACACTAAATAATCTTAAAAATCGTTGTTTATTATCTCATTTTCAAGACAGCATATATGTATTTTAAAGATCAAGATCGATTCCGTTTGAAAAAATGTATTTTATTCTTCAAACCCATACAAGTAACTCTTCTCTGATCAAACTACGATAACTTTCCCCTCAGGTTAAATCACGATTTTACGGCCTCAATTTAAAGGTGCATCCACTCAAAGAAACTCATGTATCAATCGGTGGTGCATTAACATATAACTAGAACAGTACTCGCATAATGCAACGAGATACATCTTGATTTTAATATTTTATTTTATTTTTTATCTCAGTCGATGTTATAATATGATTTTATGTGATTTTAAAAAAAACGATGATTTTTTTATTTTTTAATAAAATATAAATTTGAAGATATCATAAAATTTTGACAAAAATATATCGATATTAATATTAAATTAACCATTTAACATTCCTCATTTTTTGCGTAATTTGTTAATCCAATTTTTTTATCTTATAATTTAATTTATGTTCAATAACGAAGTAATTTATATTTGATTTAATAATATAATTTTTTTTATAAAGATAACAATTAATTATTTTGTTAGAACTCGATAATTATCTTAATTATATTTTAGATTATTTATATTTTAAAATGAGATGTTTATCATCTATTTGATTATGTTTATCCGCAGTTAGTTACACGAATTCAAACATCGAGCTTTAATAAGTTGTACTTATGCATAATTTACTTATAATCTTAAATTTTAAGTAATATGCATCAATATACGGTACTTCATACATAAAAAAATAGTTTTTAAGAATTTTTATCAAATACTTCATAATATGGTATAGATATAGTTTTAATTTTGTAAACAATTTTTAAATCACAATTTTAATATCGTCTGTTATAAATTAAAATATTATCACTACCAATTAAAACAGGTTATTTTTACGATTATTGCACGTCAATAAAACAAAATCTACAAACTTGACAATAACGCATGTTAGTTGTATTATGTTATTGTTTTATTTTTAAATGGTCGTCTTTTTTATATTTGATTCCTAATTAAATATGGAGTAAATTGCAATTTTTGTCCCTGTGGTTTGTTGGTTTTCTGTTTAGGTCCCTATAAAATTCTTATTGCAAGAAAACTCTTATCATATGCAAAAAGTGCTTGATTTGGGTCCTTAGTCTAATACCGTTAAATTTTCTCCCGTTAAATCCCCTCATGCGACTTTTGAAAAAAATACACAAAATTTTACTAATATTGGCAAAAGTGAGTAAAACGACGTAACGACTTTGCTCAAATATATAATTGGTTTAAGTTCGAATTCTACGAGAGACGTGATCGAGCCTTAGTCGTTGACCCAACACTAAAACACATCCTCACATGTGTTAATTGATGTTTGTGTAGATTAATATGTCTCTATAGATTGAATATTTTGGTTTACGAGAGTTTTCCATACATAGAAGTAACACGTAATCGCGAGGGGCAAATTTGGAAGGAAAAAAAAACTTAGCTTTATGTATAAAGCTTCCCTTATAAGCTTATTGAACAAGTCACTTTATATATCATCATACCACTACCAAACAATTACGTATAACTTATCAAATAAGCTACGAGCCTCATAAAACTTGTTAAACATGCCTTTATTTTCATTATAACTTACAGCTTTTTTATTTTCTTATTAAGAGAAACTATACATTTTTGATTTATAACCGAATAGTTTTATTAAACTACATGACAAATCAAATATTCATTTTCTGTGATAAAAGAATTATACTGTAACTTCAATCTTTATTTAAAAATACAGTGTTATTTATAAAGCATCAAAAACCAAACATCCTTCAAATCTATTAATAATATGATATAAACAATATTTCATGTTATTATTTTTTATTAACCTGGATATTCAACCCGCTATGCGAGCCGACTAATCTCAGGGCGACCACCTGTTTTGCAGATAGCCCGGAGTCACCGCATTTGAACATTCGTGACCACAAGGGGATTTTTATTCCTCCTTGGATTTGAACTTAAGACCTCCTGGTACTTTTGATCTTTGAAGGCAAGCTCAAACCAATCAGACACCAGTCTTGTGGCTAATATTTCATATTTTTTACGTATAATATAGAGCTTAATTAATTATTATTAATCTCATAAACTAGAGAAATACATTACAATCCATTAAGATCCCATAATAAGCACATAATTTGATACCCAAAGGACCCAAAAAAAGACCCTACAAGATGCCAATACTTATATACCCTTAATGTTATTACTTTTGAAACTTCTTGCAAAATTACCATCTTGACCTTATAGTTTTAGAAATGACCACTTTCTCCTTGCCTCTCAAACTTCATTCAACTCAGTACATAATCATGTCAGCAGAAGCCAAGATCGGCTGGCAAGCATAGAGATGACTCAGTGAGTTGTACATAAACTCGTCGCCAAACTCAGAACCACCAGCGCCGCTGCCGCTGCCGCTGCCGCTGCCGTCGTATTGATCCTCGTCAAACCCACACCCAATTCCGGTGTCAATGGGTTGTTTCATGAAGGTGATGATTTCATTGAGTGACTGCAGCCGGTGGCTGAGCTCTGCCACCTGAGCACCGAGCACTGAGTTCTCAGCCTCCACAGTCATATAATGCTGTGTGGTCATACTGATACTGGAAATGATCTGGTTATTCTCCTTCCTGAGTTGACTCAGCTGAGTCATGAGATCATCCAGGTGCTTTTGCTTCCTCATTCTAGATCTCCTCGCTGATTCTCTGTTTGAAACCATTCTTCTCTTCTTCCTATCATCAATTTCTTCATGAAGATATGAACCCCCTGACGATGTCGTTGTCCCACTTGACGACGCCATTAAAGTACCAAAATTAGAACTCGAAAAGTTGCAGATTTCGAGACAGAAATTGGTGAATATAACCAGGACCCAGATGGTAATTAAGCTTTAATTTGATTATTTTATCACCTACAAGAATTATAGATATAGATAGATATAGATATATGGCTAATTTATAGAGGAACGAACAATCATGAAATGAAATAGAACCAGTAGAGGAAGACAACTGAGAAAGATTGAACTAAATGGGTTCTTCGCCAATATGTGGAATTGATCATACACCCAGAAACAAACAATTCACTAAGAATTTGAGACATCTATTTCAAACATTAATAACGATAAATTGAACATGAATCTTGGTCTTTTTAGGTTAAATTGGATTGAAACAGGGGGATTTTTGCTGGTTTTAGCAAAATCCCAGATTAGAATTTGGGGATTCGAAGATGATTGATGAAGAATGTTTGAAACTTAAGATGGGGATTTGGGTCTGAATCTTGAATCTGAAGGGCAAACAGAGCAATTCCTCTATCAGATCAAGAACAGAGCCTGGCGATGGAGCTTGAGGATCTGAAGAAGAGGAGAGAAAGAAGGGGAAGAGGCTTGGGAAGGATTGTGGGTTGGATTTATAGGGAAATTTTGCCAAGAAAATATTCCACTTTTTAATTATTTGGTGTTTTTCTAATACAATTTTAATAATAAACATTAAAATTATTATAAAAACATTATTGTTTTTTTAATCATTTTTTTTATTATATTTTCAAATAAATATGTATACTCTTTACTTATGGATCCACTACAAGAATTTCTTATAAATATCATAATGTCACAAAAGATTTTCTATTAAAAAATTTATGATGGTATCATTTGAATCGTTAAGAGGTGTGAATTTTGTTTGACAGAAAAAAAGAAGTTGACTCTTAATGGTTTTAAAACCTCCTGAATGATTTTGTATCATGGGTCTTTCTTAACCATTCGGCGCCTTAATTTCATTGTAAACAATTACCAAACAATTATATTTCATTTTGCATTATATCATGAAAGTCTCTTAATCATTCTATACTAAATCATTCAGCAACTGCCAAACAACTCTTAACACTTCATTGTATTTTATTATGAATTTAATAAAAATTATATAAATATAATTTGTTAATAAAAATTGTTTTATATTGTATCATGTTTTTTGATATTTTTATAAAAATATAATTATAAAAATATATGAATAATTTATTAAATAAAATTATGGTCATAAAAAATATATAAATAATCTTATTGTTAATTAATATTAATATAATTTTTTATTTAATAAATTATAAATCCAACATTATGTGTCGATTTTCTTATAAATTTTTTAATATTAATGAATATTAAAAAAACACAAAATATAATTTGTATTACAACACAATAAAATATATTATATGATAAAAATACAAATTTAATACATAAAATTACATTATTGTTCGTTTAAAAGTTCTTAAAGTTGATGTTTGTACTATCTTCTTTGTAGTTCGATCATTGTTGTGTGATTCATTTCCATCAGTTCCATTAGGAGTACTCAAAAACCCGACCAACCTGATCAACGCAACCCAACCCAACGCGAAATAACTCAACCCGAAGCAACACGATGTCTAATCGAGTTGTAAAATTTTCAAACCGTAGATATTGGGTTACTATTGTATGAATCCAACCCAACCTGATGAATCCGATATCCWTTTATTTCTTGGATTTAATATGATTGTTGAATTTCTATTAATATATACACTAGACAATTACACTATCAACATACGCTATTCATATACACATCTTCTCAATCTATTCACATCTCTATATAATTTATTCGTATATATGTTCAGTAACTATAAACATATATACGTAAATTGAGAAAATTAATTAGATGTGATATACATAAGAAGTATTGATAAGTTGTATCAAATTGTTGATGATGAAAAGGAAATTATGAGTAGAGAAATAACATATTCAATGTTAGAAGAATATTTTAATGTACCAAAGTTTCAACCCGACCAACACGTACGGTTTGGGTTGCACTTTCGTTTGGGTTGGATTGGGTTAAGATTTTTCAAACCGCAAACATTGAATTGAGTTGTTCAAACGTCTTCAACCTGATCAACCCAACCCATGAGCATCCCTAAGTTCCATGACCATTTTTTGATTTTCTTGTTTGTTTTTTAGTTTCTCTGTTTCCATAAACGATCGTCGAAGTCATATTTATATTCGTCAATTTGATGATATAGACGAGAATGCTGATTTTGCTATAACTATGCACAAATCTCTCCTAAACATACTTCCCGAGTACGAAAACTATCTCCAAAATCATATACAGGTACACGAGTCATAGTCATTGTTTACGATCACATTTGGTTGACGAGATTCGGCAAAGATTCGGATGAGAAGAAAATGACAACTGATGTACTTTTTTTTTACTTTGTATTTTAGTTTAATGTTTCTAACATTTAATAACCATTATGTGTTTAAACTTTAAACTAATGTTTAAATATTTATTAAATGTTGTGTGTTTAATATAATTTTTCGTTTTTTATTAATAAATTAAATATATGTAAATAAATTAAAATTATATGAAACATTAAAAAAAAAATTGATGCATAATTATAAACATTTATTTATTTATTGAATCAAAAACATTTTATAACTTAAACTTAAATATTTTTTAAGTGATTTATTTTAATTTATAATAATTATTTAATTAATAAATTATTTGATGTTTAATTATAGGAAAAAACAAATTTTAATTGTAGTTTTGCTGATATTTGATTAAAATACAGTTTTTTATGATGAGTTGTTATTTAAAAAATTAATAAGAATATCAATGTAGTCGAGCGTAACTTTTTAGTAATGTCTAAAGCTGACATGACACTTAAAAAACTCAAGTATAAGATTTGTTGAAAACTGATAATGAAAAACTGATATGATTTCTTAGTAAAAGAAATTCAAGTTTTATGAAAAATACAACTGATGGTTAAACATGTCATTCTAATTTAAGTATCTGGCAAAAAAATCAAAAAGTATTAGAGTAAATTACATTTATGGTTTTTGTGGTTGTCACCTACTATCAGATATTGTCCTTATTTTGAACTAATTACAGTTGTAGTCACTGTTGTTGTCATTTTGTCTCACTTTTGATCCCTCTGATTAACTCCTGTTAAAAAAGTCTGTTAATTTGTTCTTTTTATTATCTTATTTTATCTTTTTCTTATTTTATTTTAAAAAAAAAATCTTTTTTATAAATCCCCACTCTAAACCTGCCTTCGATGTCCCTATTGCACCAATATACTCTCCGACTCGCCGACACCTCCTCTCCCTTCGGTCATCTTCTAAAACAAACAGTTAAAATCAAAATCATAAACCACATAAACATAAAAAAAAACTATGTAAAATTAAAACCCTAAATCAAGTATGAATTCCTAAAATCAAAAACCACAAATATAAGGTTTCAATAAGATTATGGATCCCATTATTTCAACACTAAGGGGTACCGGTAAAATTTAACATCACCACTTACTTACCGGGTAAGACTTTAGTCCACTAAAACAGTATCGTATGCAACAATTTACAGAGTAAGCGTTTACCATGGGAAGAGTCGTTGCTCTCACTTATCGGGTAAGACTTTCGGTCCTTATCTCCCTCTTACCGGGTAAGATTCTTGATCCTTACCATATTCATCTAGCAAGGTAATGTGACTTAATAAGCGTTTACCTGGGTAAGTATTTGATAAACGACCCCTAATTGGTTGTTAAGTTATCCATACCAAAATTTATCGAAGACAACTATAATTTTGGTATGTAGTTGGATTTCAAGTCTAATCTTTAGCAGTGGATACGTAATGGATAAGGGTTTCTAGAAGAAAGTAGAAGGATGCGTTGTGGTGTTTAAAGTCTTAATCTACAATTCAGGGTTTATGTAAAATATTATTAAAGTTGATTTTCATACGACTTTGTTTATAACCCTCATCATTAGTTTTTCATGACTAATCTACTGGTAAGACTCTCTATCCTTATCATCGTTCTTACCGGATAAGATTTTTGGTCCTTATCATGTTCATCCGGTGAGGAGAATTACCTGGTAAGTACGCTTAGTAAACGGCCCCTAGGATTAAGAACAAAAACAAGAATGACGAATGGCAAAAATTAGTACATTGTAAAAATGACATATATAACTATATTATAACAAATATATGTTTATTGTAAAATTATGTTGTTATGGTTGTCAATACACAATACAATAAAATTGAGTTTATGGGACGCTTAAAATATTTAAGTGTCCTAACAGCTTAATTTACAGTACTAAAGTTTATGTAACCAGATTATAAAGTGTCATATTTAAAAGTGTTACAATAGGTTTATATGACGTTTTTAGACGTTTAAACAAGTTTTTAGGATGTTTTTAAAGTAAAGTGTCATATTAGTTATATTATAAGATACTATTTGAAAAAATGTCTTATAAAAAGATGAGTTTATAGGATATTTCTCAAAAGTGTCCTATAAAATGGCTAAAACAATACTTTATTTTAAAAGTGTCCTAAATTTTTTGTTAAAATGCTTAAAAGGGTTCTATAAACTTATTATAACACTTTTAGATTTGACGTTTTACTTTTTGATCCTTAAACTTAAGTCCTATAAATATGTTATTAGGACATTTAAACATTTTAAGTGTCCTATAAACTTAATTTTGTTGTAGTGATTATTCTAATATTTGTTTCAAAATGGGAACATGAAGTAGTAGTAAATCATATAAATTGGCCCTGAGATCGATGATACGAATCAACCAAAATATATATATAATAAGGGGTTGTCGAAGAAGATGAAAAAGAGACGGTGAAGGGATCGTTGATTTAAGGTTTTCTTTTGTTTTTTTCGTTTTATTTGTATGTATTCACTATAAACTTGTATAACAAAAAGAAGTATAAAAAATGGAAAATGACGAGGGCTAGCTTCACATATTCAATGTGTGGGAGGGGTGACTTAGATAGCGTTTAGTACGCAAACTGAATGAGACATAGCCGCATGGGACATAAACATGATTGGACTAATTGTCTGTCCTACATTTGATACGACCAGAACAAGACATGACTAATAGTCATTTTGAAATATAATCAGTTTTACTACATTTCGAGTTTGAGTTCAAGCTTGGTTTGAGTTGGAGTTCGAGCTTAGTTTGAGCTCGAGTTTAAAAAATTGCAATCGAGTTCGAATTGGGTTTAGTTTTTAACTACTCGTGAGTTTTCTAGTCGAGTTCGAGCTTGATAAATTACTATCGAGTTCGAGTCGAGTATATCAATACTCAAGCTCGACTCGCATCATTTACACCCATATCGCAACCCATGGAAATAGAACACCAATGAAATCGAAAACCATAAAGATCAAGAACATGGAAACCATAAAGTTGCATACGATATCATTTTGGTGGACTAAAATCTTACCCGATAGGTAATCGATAGTGTTAATTTTAGTGGTAAGCGCTTACTGTGTAAGTGTTTGGTAAACGACTGTGTAGTTTGTCTTCAACAACTTATAT